CCTTTGTCCTGATATACGACCATAACCGCCAAAGGGTTATAGTTTATTGCTCATATTTCAATCAATGACGTCGTTATTCATTGACGTCATTGTATCAAATAGACGGTCTCCCCTGTAGACAATCATGTCGATAGATTACAGAATATTCCATTTTTTTATGTTAATGAAAAAACCCAAGAATGATTTAACAATGTTAATATATTGATAAATCTAAGAACAAAGGAAGGTAAGCCTACGATTTTCTAACAATAATTATCAACACTAACGTCATTTTCAATATGGCGGTGCAGGTCAAAAGGTCATAGGGGATAACTTCTGACGTTACCATTATAAACAACATGGCCGTCGTGTTATTTAGAAAGATTGATGCAGAGTTCGGATCTTATTTGATACATCTTTATATGATTTTATATATACTTTTCCTTTTAAAAAATTGACATTTGAAACGATAATACTTTTATAATGGGCTGCTGACCAAAGCAATTCTTAAGAAAATGGTTTAACTTGGAAATTGAGTGTAATGTGCGATTAGGCCTACCCTACACAACGAGTTGAAACTAAAAGATAGGAAAAGGGCGACACAAAATATGAATGAGCGGCACTTTGCTTTACTGCGTCTGTTTTAAAAATTAAAGTGGTTATTGATTATTTAAATTAAAATCAATAAAAAACAAAATCAATGGAAAATCTTCCGAAGAAATGTCTGTGGAAGTTGAGTCCAGTTTCCCCGACAGTGATGTACTCATGTAGGCCTAGGTCAGAGTAGATGACATGGAAAAAGCGTCTAGTCGATCAGATATGACAATTACCGAGCCCCTGTGTGCTAAAGACAGTGCGTGATATTAAAAATCTCTCGAAAATGGGAAATTGCAAAAAACAAAGCTGTCAATGCAAAATTTTCCTCCTTGCACACTGTATGGCGTTGCTCAATCAGGTGCAGAAAAGTAGGAGGTAAAATTCATTTTGGTGATAGGCCTAGTTTTATTTCAAGAAAGTGATTCTGGCGATCGTTGTTTATGATTACGCTCTCATTTACGTAAGTGGCTTTTCCCCTATGAACTTTGACCTGGCCTCTTACGTCACAAAGTGTTGATAGGAGTTATCAATTGCATTACCACCTTCCCCTTTAAATTCTTACTATGTCGTGATTTTCTCTTAGGTTTTCAATTCAATCTTTTACATGTCGGAGAATATAGACTGGCTGAATAGGCCAACTAAAATTATAATTGTCCAAAAATGTATTCTAGACGACATTCATTACCGCCAAAAAGTTTGAAAATTACCAACAGTTTGAAAACCCCTGAGTTAGTGCACATTTTCCTCTAACCCTGCTTTCATACAACGATAATCAAAATAATGATTTTAAATTCAACCTTTGCAATACAGCCTAATTTTCAGTGTTAAATTACTAAGCTTAGCCTATATATCATAATTAACTTACACAGGCATCTGTTTCTATCAATAGTCAACTCTATTTGTAAGAGTATACTATTATAGAGAGAGTCGATTGTTGATAGAAACAGATGCCTGTAAACTTACCCTAGTTTTGCCAATATTGATCACCCTCTCTGCATACGACTTAGCGGTCTGTCCCTGAAAAACACAGAAAGCGTTTAAATCAAATCAATCGAATGATATTTCTACATACTAATATGCATCAACATGTTCGAAAATATTACATATCTACTGTTTCACTTTAGTTGGGAAAGCTCTTATTAGTGACTGTCCAACAGAGCATAATGATTGGCAAAAAATTATCGAGACCTAGAAATCGTTGTGTAGTTTCTAAGATCATAATGAACAAATTGAGTCGAAAACATGAACATTGATTTTATCTTGAATCAAATGATAAATTTTGAACACCCTCCATTACCAAAAAAAAAAAAAAAAATAGATCAAACTTTAGTTTCGTTTTTTTTTTATTAGCTATTATTTTTAATATAGCCACTTCAGTTAAGGTCTAATGAAGGGCCTCTTGAACACTCGTCAAAATAACCTAGTCCTGCTTTAACCAATCAAATTTCTGTCCTCTCCAGCGCTGGCATTTTGTGAGAGAGTGAAAGAATTTCATTGGTTAAAGTTGACGTCATCAGATTAGGTCAAAGGGTTACTTTGACGAATGTTGAAGAGGCCAGTCTTTAGACCCTAACTGAAGTGGCTATATTAAAAATAAAAGCTGATAAAAACGGAACGAAAATTTGGTCTAATTTCAATTTGACTGATACAGCATGCTACATTCGGGGGAAAAAACCAACCTAGTTTTAGTTTCATGCCATATATAAACTATATACCTGTAGGTAGGATGGAGGGAAGCCTTCTAAATACATGCCACTTGGGGCAAAATAAAAATCATACAACACACTGGTAAACAATGATGCCACATCACCTAAATAATACAAACACACACACATTAATTTACACACATTAAAACACACAATATAGTGAACATAATAAACATTAGTAATGCATCTTATTTCATTTTTCTTCATTTCTTGTAACTCTTCAGAATGCAAACGGAAAAATGAAGTTTACTGGTATTTCAATATTTCAATTATATTCAATATTCTTCATTAAAAACAAGGTTAAAGATCGCGAAAATGATGGGGTTTAGTGATATTTAATTTTTTTTTCAGAATGAGAATATATTCAAAATTCTCTCTTAAAGGGACTGTAAAAAGGTTTTCTAATTTTTTGTCATGTGTATCAAGGACATTGATAGCACCATTCCAATTTTCAATCAGACGTCTGCGGTTCCTGTAATTCCACTAAAACTAAGTGTTTGATGACGTCACTAATGGCGAAGGGCCTTATGTGATAAAGCATATTTAGCGATTAGTGACGACATACATTGACATTTTACAATAATATTCAAAAAAGATGGTTAAAAAAACAGTATAAATAGTTGAAATAGAAGTAGAAGTTTAGGAAAGAAAGTACAATACCTAAATTTTTAGGGCTGGCTCTCCAAACGGTTTCCATGTTATGATTCTTAATTCTATACTCGTGATCTTGATCATCAATTCTTCCCAAAAACAGCGCATCGAATCCCATCTAAATAGAACACTACACTTAAATATACTATTAATGTTAAAAATCAAATAGTTTTACAATCAGTAATAGTGGAAACGCCCTAGTCGCAAGCCTCGCATAGGAGTGTCTGAGCCTGCAGGTCACGTATTCTCGAAACGTTCCTAGCGCTAAGACGTCCTAGAATCAATGTTAGAAGATAAGAACCTAGGACATCCTGGCGCTAAGATCGTTTCGAGAATACAGTGCCAGAAGGTCTCCAAATAAAGTTTTGAAAAACATAATCGATCTGACGCATTCTGAGACATATGTTTTGACAAAAACGTATAAAAATAATATTTTTAAATTTGTAAGAATGAAGTCGGGGTACACTTGGTGAGACAAACCGTGGGATGGGGGCAAATGCCTAAAGTTAAATGAAAATGCATCAGTGGCGGTGGTCAGATTTCCAGATTAACATTATACGTTAACGATGGCGTTATAATATCGATTATGTTGGCTTATGCGCTTGGTTACAAAACCGACAGGTAGCAAGCATACCTGAGCAAATATTGAAGAATGTTCTCTAGAATGTCCAAACTGATCAATATGCCAGCCAACTCTAGGCATAGCACATTTGCCAAATTCTTTAAGAATAAAATCAAAGCCAATAGTATGTTGATCTATGATATCATTATAATATGTAGTAGCAGCATCACTCATACACCATCCTCCAACTATAAACTCTAATCTACCTAAAATCAGAAAAAAACCAATTGAAATAGACCTCTTTGACCCTTAAAGGTCGGAAGTTTAGATATTTAACCCTTTATCTAGCAAACCTGTTTTGTATTTCTGAATTTGATCGGTCGATGATTTAGCTCTCGACCAATCAGACTGATTAAAGCATGATATTGCGTAGCTATCCTATGATAATTCATACTGTCGGTAAATGATTGATAAATTGAATAATATGGTGTAGTGAGCACAATCTGAAATGATTTGTCTGCTGAATCAAGGATTGTATGTCTAACCGACTCATACACCCTTGGAAGGCAGTGGCTATTTACCACTGGCGTGGTAAGCGTGGTAAATAGCCATAAATACCCTTACTTTGATATTCCTTTTGGCAAAAAATGCTTAAAACAACCTAAATATTCAAATGAACGATTTTGATTTCAAAAACTCATCATGTTCATCAAAAATTCGCTTTTTGAAAAAAAAATGTCGTGTTTGTTTACAAATAAATGTCAAGGCCAACTTTGTATAGTATGTAGTCTAGGTCAGTAATGATACAGATATTGATAGTGTTTGACTGTAGTATGTAGTCGAGGTCAGTAATGATACAGATATTGGTAATGTTTGACTGTGCTATGTATCGAGGTCAGTAATAATACAGATATTGATAGTGTTTGACTGTATTTTACAGTAGAGGTTAATAATGATACAGATATTGATAGTGTTTAACTGTAATATGTATTACAGGTTAATAATGATACAGATATTGATAGTGTTTGACTGTAGTATGTAGTAAAGGTCAGTAATGATACAGATATTGATAGTATTTGACTGTAGTATGTTGTAGAGATTAGTAATAATACATATTATATTGATAGCGTATGACTGTAGTATGTAGTAGAGATTAGTAATAATACATATTATATTGATAGCGTATGACTGTAGTATGTAGTAGAGATTAGTAATAATACATATTATATTGATAGCGTATGACTGTAGTATGTAGTAGAGATTAGTAATAATACATATTATATTATACTATATCTGTATCATTACTTACTACAGTCAAACACTATCAATATCTGTATCATTATTAACCTCTACTACATACTACAGTCAAACACTATCAATATCTGTATCATTATTAACCTGTAATACATATTACAGTTAAACACTATCAATATCTGTATCATTATTAACCTCTACTGTATTTACAAGCTACAGACTGAACGCATTTCCATAACAATAAAAATATTGTAAATCTTATGATTTTTCATTCATAATAATCACTCATGAAGACTGTGTTGTTTTCCTTGCAACAGCAGTCCAAATATAGGAACAGTGTCGACAAATCCTACGATAATCATCGACCGCATTGAGTCAATTTTGGCTTTAGTTTTTATGACTAAAGTGTCGAGGTTCGCTTGGGTTCGTCGTGTTGAAGGGCACCAGAAATCCTGAAACTTTATAATTCTTCTCCTACAATAGCTAGTCTCACCTTACACCTCAGGGGATGAAAAGAACCCCACGCTAGGAACCAGGAATATACAGTATTATAGCTTGGAACTTAAAAATTCAATAAAAGTCTGTCAAAAGTATATAGCTTTAAAATGTATATATAAACGAATTTCATTCCTTATTGTTCACATCATATAGCGATTGTAGAAATGTTTTGGACTGTGAAATTTAGCGTCCAAAATGGCCGAAAACCACAGTCACCGATATTAAATATGGCGGATATTTTCCTTCGCTAGGGATATTAAAATGCTTATTTTAGTGAGCTAACAATGTGAAATGTGCACAATATTTATATTTTTGAATCTTAAAAAGTGTAATTTTTTGAAATATTAAAAAAAATTGGATAAAATCCTACAAATAAAAAAAATGGTAAAATTTAAATACCACGTTTTTTCTCCATAGACTAACATGCTGATATTGGCCTAATTTAACAATTTACCACGCCGTGGTATATAGCTGTAAGGGTACTTATGACTATTTACCACGCTTACCACGCCAGTGTTAAATAGCCACTGCCCCCTTGGAATACACCATTCAAAATTAAAATCAGACGTTTTAGTGGAATTGCAAGAACCAATGATTTGAATCCGGTGCAAATTGATGTTATCATAGTGTCCCCGATATACATAAAAAAATCTTTACAATCACTTTAATGATTTTAATTGAGTTGTATAGATGTTAAAGTATTTTCGAGCTCTTTAGGATTTCTTGATTTTTACTTCATGTTCTTTAAGGAAATCCATTATCGCTCTTGCTTTATGACTGGAAGAAATCACAGCTTGGAACTTGTATTAAATTATAAGGCAATCAGTTGTGTTGTGTGAAACAACATTCCCTTAAGTTACAATTAAAACCTCATTACAACTAGTCAAATACACGTTAAGAATAATGTATTTATGTTGAAGCTGGCACATTTAAATCATTCAAACATGGCAAAATATTGAGATACGATCAGCTAGTCTATTCTACCAGTTACCATGAGGTTCAACACCCCCCTTCCACCATCCCAACCTCAACCCCTCTTAAAAGTGCAACAGAAGTTTTGATTCCAAGAATGCTTTCTATTGCTTATTTGGTGTTGGGACCCATGTCCTGTTATATTTCATGCGACATTACGACCGCTAATTATGAAAATTGTACAGTCGTTTCAATTCCTTTTCCAGCTGAAAAGTCGGTAGCTGTCCATGGCCTCTATCAGAGCTGTAAACCGGCGTCCAGTTCTCCTACATGTAAATAACAGTGACAATTTAGACAGTCGACACTTTCAGTTTCAAAGCATTACTGCAGAAATTATGACGTCGTTGGTACCAAATAGAAATGTATGAATATCTAAAACGTCCTGGAAGCAATAACAGTCTACGCTGTGCGTTTTTGATTGAATTATAAGAGATCCAAAAGTAGGTTTTAAATCCTGAAAAGTGATATGGATAGCTGAAATTGAGCTCTAACAAATGAACAAGCAAGGGTTTAAACAACTGTATCCCTTTAATACGATGACAAATTCATAAAAGTCAAATTTGGTGGACATAACTCTTTAATGACGGGTGTTCCGCCAGGCAGGGTATGCTTACTCTTCATAATGAAATATTTCTTCATTCATAATTGATATAATTCCTTATGTATATGAATAGATAATTTGCTGAAATCAATATATTGCCAAACTGTTATTTTGGAGTTTCGTTGGGTTTTAATTTTTAACTACTGCAGAAAAGTACTCTAGCGATGATAAATAATTTAGAATGTAACCCAGTTAGAACTCTTGGTTCATAAACTTGTATTTCGATAACCTAAGGAGAAAATATCAGTAAAATTCTAGCTGCATGCTGTTATCAATTACCGCGGGTTTTCTTTGATAATTTCTGATAAATATGTAATTTCGGCATATTTACGATGTAAACAACGTAAACACTTACACCAAGGTCAAAATATTACATGTAATCCTATTTTCTAAAAAATACAACATTGTAACTTGTACTTGGTTTCTTGTGCATTAATAACAATTCTATGGTCCTAATTCGACTCAATGACTTCTTGAAAAGAGACTTAAAGTCCAAAATTTTATTTGGAAGATAGCGTATTTTACTTTAGTCGTTCTTCCTTTCTAGAAAACCGTCATGTGCACTATTAGAATGAAGGGGACTTATCAACCAAGTCTATTTCTTACATTTCAAATTTTGTAGTCTTTGTTACCTAGAAGTAAGATAAAATAAAAATAATACTGAAACTTACGTTCTCTTATGAGTTTCTTGACATCCTCTTTCATCTGCTTGTTTTGAGCATAATACCATTTTGAGAAAAACGACATTTCAACATAGATGAATCTTCGTGTTGGATTTTTTAACAATGATGGTATTACCGTATTTAAAATACATTGAACACATTCTCCTCCATGATAGTAAGATTGACCTACAAGCAATGAACAGAAATGAATTGAAATAGAGTTTTACGTCATATAAATTTTCCTCTGATGATGTCAGGATGAGGGACCTAGCCTATTCTCTCTCGATTTCCAAATGAATCTATAACGAGCACAATCTGTAGCATTTGGGGCTCTCCATTTTTCAGAACAACGAAAAGCTTTTTCTGTGTCAGACCTTCGTGTTGCATTCGACTAGAAGGCTGTCAAACGTATGGCAAATTGCAATTTTGCAAACACAATCTGTAATTTCCCTATGTATGCACAGAGAAAACATGTCGTATTTCCCTGAATATCAAATGACGATACTAAATTTCCGTTCACACTTGCATCCTCTGCCGCTACGTCTGGTGCAGCCTCATCTAGAAACCCATTATAACCTCTTTAATACCATGTTGATACAGCAATTTGTACCCAATAAGTATGACTTATTAAATATTAATCTCAAGATTTACACTATTGATTTTTTATACTCGGACAAACCGCTATAGTACTTTACAGTCAACTTAGTAAAAATAACAATAGGATAGACCATGAGTATAGTGAATCCTGGTTGATTTCAGCTGAAAACAAACTGAAGTAGGTCATGGGGTGGTGATAAAATAGGCTAAATCATGAGATGATGGTGATGGCGTAAGTCATGGGATGGTGATGAAGGAAGTCACTAGATGAAGGTGACGGAGTGGTTTATGGAATGGTGTTTTAGTAAGTCATGAGATGATAGTGATGATTAAGTCATGAGATGATAGTGATGAAGTAAGTCATGAGATGATAGTGATGAAGTAAGTCATGGGGTGGTGATGAATCAAGTCACTAGATGAAGGTGACGGAGTGGTTTATGGAATGGTGTTTTAGTAAGTCATGAGATGATAGTGATGATTAAGTCATGAGATGATAGTGATGAAGTAAGTCATGAGATGATAGTGATGAAGTAAGTCATGGGATGGTGATGAAGGAAGTCACTAGATGAAGGTGACGGAGTGGTTTATGGAATGGTGTTTTAGTAAGTCATGAGATGATAGTGATGATTAAGTCATGAGATGATAGTGATGAAGTAAGTCATGAGATGATAGTGATGAAGTAAGTCATGGGGTGGTGATGAATCAAGTCACTAGATGAAGGTGACGGAGTGGTTTATGGAATGGTGTTTTAGTAAGTCATGAGATGATAGTGATGATTAAGTCATGAGATGATAGTGATGAAGTAAGTCATGAGATTATAGTGATAAAGTAAATCTTGAGATGAAAGAGATGAAGTAAGTCTTGCGATGAAAGGGATGAATTAAGTCATGAGATGATGGTCATGAATTAAGTCAAAAGATGATAGTGATGAAGTTAGTCATGAGGTGCTGGGGATCATGTGATCGTGACGAAGTTGTACATGGAATGATAGAGACAAAGTTTATGGGATGGTGGTTTAGAAGGTCATGTGATCGTGACGAAGTTGTACATGGAATGATATAGAAATAGTTCATGGGATGGTGATGAAGAAGGCCATGTGATCGTGACCAAGTTGTACATTAAATGATTTAGAAATAGTTCATGGGAGGATGGTGTATAAGGTCATGAAATCATTGCTAATGGCCCATGGGATGGTTATGAAGAAGGCCATGTGATCGTGACCAAGTTGTACATGAAATGATATAGAAATAGTTCATTGGAGGATGGTGTATAAGGTGTGACTATGAAGTGTAGCGACGACGACACCGACGACGACGGATCATGCTGATGTTAATTAGAAGATAAAGATGTTATTGAAACAGGTCTACTATTTGATTTATGTCCTCAAGGCAAATAATCACTACTTACTATTTCCTCCACCTTGTCCAGAATAATACTGATCCATTGTCTTCAACCATCCCACATCATCATGAGAGTGTGGAATAATATGTATATTTAACATGCCCTCTTTTACAGGGTTACATTTCTGGAAAATAATAAAGAACATTCTAAAAAACAACAGAAAAACCTTTAAAGGCATTGTATAAAGTGGTTTTCTAAAATTTGTATGTGTATAAGTTAAGCATTGATTTCAATTTTCAAGAAAACGTCTGTCATTCCTGCAATTCCACTAAAACCACGTGTTTAATGACGTCACTAACGCAAAGGTCCTTATATAGCAAAAACAGCTTTTGCGATAATGGCAGTCGCAAAACGCTTATTTTTAATTCATGGAACTGCAGGAACCACAGATGTCCACAGATTATTTACATTTGCCACCAATCTTTTTGATATTTTAGATGTGATACGGAAACGGATATTAATTGCTAACGAACCAGACGTTGGGTTGTAGTATGAAAAATGACATATTTGGGAGGTATAGAATAATGAAATCGGATGCAAAACAAAAGCAAAACAAAAACAGCGAATAAGATTGTAACTATGTTAGATAAAAACAAAACCTAACTTACATGTACGTTACATGTCCCTGTGTCTTCCAAATTTTCTAGTGCGGGATCTCTTAAATTGTTAGAAATTCTCTCTATAAATGAACCAACCGCATTTGACGGTTCTTTCACTAAAGCGCGTATTTGAGAATCACCTTGTTCAAATTTTAGAGGATGTCCTACATTTGCGTCTTTCCGCACTGACGCATCCTGTTCGTTCTGATCTAACTCTGGCGCAAGCTGGTGGACATAGTGGTATCTTTGACGGGGAACTTCTGTGTTGTAACTGCTCCATATTTTGACTAATACTGGAAGAAAGGCCACAATAGCCACCAATTGGAAAAATCGTTTCGTTCCTCTTCTCATGACCGGATATGGATGCGATCGCCGATCTTAATTCGCCAATGTTGTGGTCCCTGAAAGCAAAAATATTGATCATTAATTTTAAAGTACCAAGCCGACACTACAGTCAACGGGGGTGGGGAAGGCACATGGGCAGCAGCCCCTCCTCGCAGCCCCGAAAAACTAGGTTAGAAATTCTGACAATCTCAGATATTTCGCCCCCTCGGTCGCAAACCTGCAGTATATTAAATGGTCTATAAAGAGATTTTCGAACTTGTTTTGTGTTTCGGGGACACTGATAGGATCAATTTGCACCATTCCAGTTTTTCAATCAGACGTTTTTGATTCCTGCAAATCAACTAAAAATAAGTGTTTGATGACGTCACTAAACGCAAAATATGCTTATATCACATATAAGGCCTTGGCGATTAGTGACGTCATAGAATCGTCATCAAAATTTAGAACACCTCTTCAAAATCCCTTTACGGCTTAATCAGCTTTCTGTCAGTTTACTTCACTTAAAGAAATTCATAAATCATCGGTTGATGTAGGTCTACAGCGAAATCATTTTGCTGTAAGAATATCGCACCTTATTATCAAAATACATCTATGTCGAATTCGTAGATCACAGCAATATTATTACATAGCAAGAACTTCCTAATCGAATCGAGGTCCTTATTAACCAATCAAGAAAATAGATCCACATTGAGCGAGTTTTCGTTCGATCATAACTATATAAACAGCTAGACGATTTGTGTAATGATCTAAAACACTATGTTTCCTTTTAGCAATTTGAATCGCAACTGTTAATTGGATAATTTATTTATGAAATGTCAGAAATAAGTAGTAGTCGATGTTACTATTATAGTCCGAATCTTTCAACTTTTATATGCCTTCTAAGCCTTTTGAGGGGGGCGGGGGGGGGGGGGGGGGGTATATGAATGAATATTAAACCCATGAATGCATATGCATTAAACTAATAATGCCTTTATGTCCAGAATTATCTGCGTTTGAAAGTTAAGTCTTTTCTTGAGACACTGCCATATGCATAAAAGACATATCTATAGAAATAGGAAAAGAATTTCCTAGTTTGAGATATTTTTGAAGGAATTATGTAATTTTCGTACATTTACAGTACTTCTGAATACTATTTACATATCATATTTAAGATTCAAATCAACCCCCAAAAATGGCGCATCTGTCACTTTATAACGATCATAAAATCATTTACTTTAGAAATTACATGCACATTAATGTACATGTCTCAGCATGTACTATATGATAATTGGTTTGGGTATTTCAAAGGGATGTTGGCGTCTAATGTTTGCGGATAGAGCTCAGTGCTGCTCAGTCAGAGTTTGGATTGTCGTTACTCCCTCGGCGATATCAATATTTTCACGTGCAGATTACTGAAATCATGGCATCATAACATACGAAACTACGTGTCACGCCTTTAACATGCCGGATAACCATGGTCGTGTCTATTAGCATAGCGATTATTTAGACGACTACATTCGCGTATATCCCGTGGGGTTTAAATGTTTGCGGATAGAGCTCAATACTGCTCAGTCAGAGTTTGGAGTGTCGTTACTCCATGGGCGATATCGATATTCTTGCGATCAGATATCACTGATATCATTACATCAGAACTGTTCGTGAGAATCTTAAAATGACGAAAGTCTAAGGGCCTGGTTACATTTTTAGTCCTAACAGACAAGGATTTCAGTTATAGAAGGCCAGCCCGGTATTCGACATATAAGCCACTGCGGCTTATATGAATACCGGGCTGGCCAAGATAGCCTGGCTTACTGTTCTATTCGTTTTTTAGTAGACACGCAAAGCAATTATTTAGACTAACATATCCCTTCAAATAGTAGTATTCTTTAATGGCACATTCAAAAGGCCTACACTCTCTATATTTCTATCCCTTTTCTTATTCGGTTGTGTTATTTGTTTGTAGAAACTGGGTGGACAATGTAGACGCATTAAACACTTCTCGGAGAATGATTTAGGTCAAAACGTCACATGCATTTATAATAGAAAAAATCCTTCAATTTCATTTCTCCTTTTACTTTTTCAGTTATAGTTTCATGATTAAAGGGACTAATGCGCCATTTTCGGGAATTGATTTTGAGTTTTGAGTATATGTCAATATTCTTCAGTTATAGAAATGTACGAAAATTGCATAATTCATTCAAAATTATCTCAAACTAGGAATTTTTTTACTATTTCTACAGGTCTTTTGTATATCATATATATATTATTGCAGTGTTTCAATAAAAGACGACTCATCTTTTTAACTTTCAATCGGGGATAATTCTGGACACACATGGATTTGAAGGCTCAAAATTCGACGGCGAGCTGTTAACACTATTACCGATTGGCTAAGCTAAAAAAATCCCGTTTTTGGGACTAAATTATGATTGGTCAAAAAAATGAGGCATCTGTCCCTTTAATTAGAGTCTACAAATTGACATTATAATATGTATGAAAAAAACCCCCGTTGGTATAGAAATGTAGACCATCGTAACGTGTCTCGGTTCAAAGAGTTTAAGGGTTTTTCTTATTTGTGTATGTATAAGTGTTTCAGTTGATTATGCAGTTTGATATCAGTCAGTTCTTAAAGGTATACTACCTTTTTTATCCTTTTTTAAACTTTGTTAAAATGAGTCTTTGTTTATCATTGGTCTTACCAAGTGTCATTACTATACATTAAAAGCGCTTTTCAATAATTACTTAGTTTAATGGATATCGTGTTTTATAGAAATTCTATTTTTTAGTCATGCGGCAAAACGGATGAATATACTATGACCAAGTTTTTAAAATTTTTTGTCCATTCTAAGAGGTGGTATTCCTTTAAATGCCTGGTGCTAATTCCCCCTCCTTTTCTTCTTTTCTTCCTGGGATTTCGCCTTTAAGTTGTTGCGTGTCGACCTATTTACCTTCACCAGTAGGCCCTAATGATATTTATAGCGGATAAGTTACTATCTGCACAAGTCAAGTCATTTCCTTGTATTTTCTAATACTTCAGTAACAATACTGCTGGAAATGAATTCACAATTCATTAATTATTGATTTTTTAATATCCTACTATTGGTATTTGTCGTTTCTATCGTTACGACGCCGCCCACCATTTTGCAACTGCACACATTATTGTATTGCGCAATACTGAATTAAGATGAGGGATTAAGATTTATGCACGATCTATTTACGGAATAAAATTCCGTACAAGCATGATAATTCCGTTAATCAACATCTCGTCCAGAGTATGGCAAAATCGAGAGTAAAGGTTGTATAGCAGCGGAATCCTCTTAAGAGAAGCACCATCAGGTGTTCCGAAAAGAGTAAACATAAGTTGTACTGATATATTTCAACAGGTTTTCTCTGATCACGGTGGTTTTGTCAATTATTTATGTAAGTCTTACAATTCCGACGATTTCTTTCAAGTAAAAGGCATTAAAGCTATCATGCTCTAATTGCAATAAAATAAATTCAAGGTTGGTTGGTTTCACTGTGAGTGGCGATAATCGATGTTGACATGTCTGTAGGTAGATGACAAGTTAACGTTCTCTTCCAGAGGATGTTGATATCGCATACTTGGCAGTTGTAGCAGTTGGATCGATGATGATGGTTCGAGGTCTGAATATCAACTGATTCATTTGCGCGTCTTACCTGGCCTTTATACTGTGTGCATTGCGGCAATATTTCTTAAAAGAATATGGCGATTGATAGTAATAAATTTTGAATAATTACTTTTAGCCTAATTAGAGCATGATAGCATTGAATTTCGTATTCTGTTATTAAATCTGTTGTCCGGTCAAGGTCTTTGCATCGCCCAAAAAATCTATAGTAAAACTGTAATGGGATTGCATTTACTGTTGTTTCTATGATCTTTCATTCTTGATTTCAAAGAGCCCGATCACAGAATCATACACTCCGTTATCCAGACTGCAATTAACATTGAAAATGGATGCATGAAATAAACTTAAACAGACAAATTCCCCTATTATAGCCCCGTCGCACCGGACTGCAACCATCTGCGATCTAACGCCGTCTGGATATGTGCGTGTCTTGCACGCGATCTTAACACGCTCTTAACCAATTTTCAGTTGCAGTAGCAGCGCAGTAAGAACGTCTTTCAGGTGAGACTGGACCTTAAGATAAATAACGACGCTTCAATAATGGAAATTGGGAGTCGAATTCCATTGCATTTTTCAAT